GGGGGGGGGAGTGGTGGTGCAGGGAGAGTGAGGAGGAAAAGTTGGAAAAGGAGGTTGGCTGGAAAGGAAAATCCTCATAGGCTATGCCCCCTGCCAGTACTGAAACACTCGACTGCAGCTCTTGCAAAGCACCTGTTGGCAGCTGTTTCGAGTAGTTTATAGGTTTTGGGACAGAGTCAGGACAGAAAACTTATAGTCTGTGTTCCCCGATTTGACACACAAGTTGGCCTTATTTTAGTAAAATAGAAGTCATTCCCGGACGGTAATTATAACAATAAATAAACCTGTTCAGAAATAACAGCTTTCACTTTATAGAAAAAAAGAAAAAAAATATTAAATTGCATTATTTTGAATTACTTTCCTTACTAGTAGTAATAATATTGTCTGGCTGATACCACTTATCTTGTCTTCATTATAACCAGAACTTCAAAACAAAACAATGTTTCATGGAATAGAAAGAAAATACAATAAAACAATGTTCAGGAATGTCAAATTGATACTCTCATTCAAACACAGTGGCAAGAGGCTAGGTGTGTGGGGTTATCTGGCCTGTTCTATGTTTTGCAAACTTTAGATATTAGAGTGGAATGACAGAATGACAGTCAGAAAATTGTGTATGTTAAATTAGGACTTTCTTTATGTCAAGAATTCAGTTTAAACATGTTAACATCTTTGCAACATCTTTCATGTAAACTGCTGTTCAGATACATTTAGTGGAGAATGTTAGCATTATATTTTATGCCTTCCTGTTAGTAACTCAAAAAATGACTTGTGTTTAGAAAAATATTTGCAGTCCTTTGTTGTTATATAAATAAATTATTCTTTCTTAAGAGGAATATATAACAATGATAAATAATATATGTATTTGATATGTAGAACGTATCAAGCAGAAAATAAATAGTCATTTTTCAATATAGGTATTTATTATAGGCTGAGCTAAAAACTCCAACCTTTTATTGGCTAACTCTTTGACTATAATGAGAAATTGCCCTCTGCTAATACTTTGGTTCATTTTAAAAGGCTTACTTAGATAAGTACCTGTATTACTCAGTCTCAATAAAGTTGAAATAGAAAATAGATAACATTTTGGAATTTAATCCTTTCTTACATGTACTTCAAAACATCCACAGTTTTCCTGTTCTACCTGAAACACTAAACATATGTAGCATTAGATTTATTACTCTGGATAAAAAGAGACCATGGATGCTTAAGAGTTTTAATAAATCAGGACACAGAAGGTTCAAAAATATGATAATCTAGTATTTTGGACTTACAGTCAAAATATTTTTTTAGTAATTAAAAATCCTTTAAGATTTGTGTAGTTGTTTTTATTAATCCTGCACATTGACAGATTGCAAAAGTACTCTTTTACTGTGATCCTGAAAAACACGTTTTTATTATATGTTCGCTGTTTGGAATGAAAGCGATATATGTAACAGAGAGAGGAGTAGGCAAATGTGGAAAATTTAAGCAAATATTGAGGAGCTCTGAAAGGTGTCCCTCAGTGATTTATGCTGGGGAGCATTGGCAAAATGTTGGTGCTAAACTTCTGGATTTTTCATGAGGTGTAAAGTGTGTGGAAACAGTAAAGGAACCAACTTTGAAGTTGGTGGTTGCAAGTGTTTTTGGTATATTCCAGATATCTTCTTTCTCAGTATTCCTTACTTGCTGCTTACATCCTTCATTCTTGGCACGGAAAGTCCTCAGCATGTAAATTTAAGTTCTTATGATGAGCAGTGGAGCAGAAAAGGGAGAAGGCAGGACTACGCATCAGCACAGAGCAGGATGGAGAACTCCAACAGCCAGCTTGGGAATCAGCTGTCATTTTCGCATCAAACTTGTCTGAGCCCCCAGTGCTAAGTCTTGCATAATATCATTCTCTTTAGGGATTAGTCTTATATGACAAAGAAGCCAGTGCCAACCTGAACTCCCTTCACTACTTTCTGCAAGATGTTATTTGTTTACAATGCCGGTCGAATGCTCCCTTTGTTCTCAAGTCAGAAAACTAGCAAAAACTGTAATTAAATTGATCAGATAGCCCAAGTCCTCACTTTTCCCACTATAATTAACAGCTAGCACTGTTAACTGTCTAAAATCTGTCATGGTTCCAATATACGACAGAAGAGTATGTTTAATATACAAAGTATGTAAGTACTGTATCATCAGTGATAAATTTAGGTTTCTACTTTACTTTTCAAACTTCAAAAACTATTGGAGTCAATTAAAATTAAACCACTATTTGTACAAATGTTTATTAGCCCTTTTTTAATTTTTATTTCATAGGTCTTGTAGAAATCTGCCTGATGCATCCCCTTGATGTAGTGAAAACAAGGTAAGATTCTGCTTGAACAGGTTTTGTTGACACTGGAAGATATCCCAGTAAGGAGCTGTCAAAAACACAATGCTAGAACTTCTCCAAGTAAGAAAACTTGTGCCTTTAATGGCATTTATATTTACTTATCTGTATCTACAGCATTTGACAGATGGAATTTGAATAGCATGACACATTTCTGATTAGAGTTCATCTAAAGGTGTTAAATGTGTTTCATGACATATTTTAAATCTTGTAACAAAATCCTATAACATGAAGAGGGCTATGGTTAAATTCACTTAGTATATGTATCATCTGCAGTAATGCTTCTATATGTAATTGGGAAAAAGAACATATTGCCTCCAAAATAATTTTCACAAATTTTTCAGACCAAATAAAAATAATAAAACAATGTTCTCTCTGTAAGTTAAGTAACTTCATGTGTTGATCTTTTTTTTTATCTTTTTATCCATCCCTATTTTCATTTCTGAAGATTTGTGCTTGTGTGAATATAAATGATTAAGTGACCTGGAAAATTGTTAAAATTACGTTTTTTAAATGTTGATTGTTGAGATGGAAAAAGAATACCTCTGTTACTGGTTTCTTTAATATCTTTTTGCCTTTCCATGCTTTTTAGTTTTCATATAAATTCATGAGTGTTACCATACATGAAAAGCAAACCAGAATGCAGAAGTATACAATAAGAAGGTGAAAACTTTTCATGCCATGTGGCATGAAAGCATACATAGCATACAAGCAATGCCAGTAATTCCCATATACAGCTCCTAGAGCTCTGTCTAGGTCTCAGTCATGTAGGCAGAAAAGCTTCAGCGGGAGGTGAATCAGCTGCAACCAAGTGATGAGGACAGCTCTTGTCTCTGGAATATTCTTGCAGTCAATTATGTCTTGAGATTCTAGTTCCAGTTAGCCAATGTGTGAGCTCATTATGGGTGTATTTTTTGTTTCTGTTTAAATCACATTCTGGCCTTGAGGTACACTTCTCTGCAACTTGCATTGTGCTGGAGGAGTCTGTCTGTCTGTGGTGGCTGCCCAGCACCAGAGGATGATAATGCAGGCTCCATCTGCATTAACTGATGCTGACGTGCTGCAGGTACTGCTTGGGGCTTGGAGTTTGCTCAGGCAATTCTTCCATATGCCTTCAGAATATGGAATATGTTAATTAATATAGAAACAATACACCTAGTAGTTTGAAGGGTCCTGTCTGCCCCTCCACGTACCACCAAGACCTTGCTAATAAAAAAACATTTACATAAAAAAAATTGAAATTAAAAACTCAGAAGCAACACAGTACAAGCAAAACAAATAGAGGAACAAATTTAAAAGAAAATATGTATCTTACTCTGCTGTCATGTGGTCCTCACAGGATGTGCTTTATTGACTTCATTTTGACAGGTTGTGCTATAACTCACCTATTACTCTCAAGCTTTTGGTTTTACTTCTTCCTGTTTTCCTCTTTGTACTAAACCAGGAGTCATGTTCTTCTGTAGTATAAATGCAGCATCAGTGATTTACTTCTCATGTACTTGGTGCCTTTAAGGCTGTCATCCTACACATCCTTGTATCTCCAGTCTTGGTTGAAAGAACTTACTACATGTCCTCAGAATCATTCACGATTTAGGACACGCCACATACCATATATCATAAAAAAGCATTAACTGCGCATCTGTTCTGATAAACTGGCAACAAGGAGATGTACTTTAAGCTTTCTGATAGAAGTTGCACATACAGTGAACTCTCAGAATACAAGGACGGATTTCCCTTTTACAATTCCAAATTTTACTGGTTTTGTCATAATTTTAGCGTTCAAAATACTAATCAGATCTGAGATACAGGAATGGAAAGCATGAAAGAGT